AAGCGCAGAAAAACCAACTTTTTCGGTCTAATCTCCTGGTATTATTGTGCTTGGCTTCGTAGAGGAGGATGTAGGTTAAGCAGTAGCCTCATCCTGAAACACTTGGTCAACTTTCGTGGTGTCGCTTTCCCAAAGCTTGCTTTCTCAATCCAACAAGTAACGTCTGAGCAATAGATACAGAAGAGACTAATCCAATCTCCTATTTTGTCATATTCGTAACCTTTTTCAATTTCTTTGATTGGTTCAGTATTCATTTTACTCTTACTGGTTCACTTTTGCGATTATTATTCTTTTATGGTCTACTTCTTGACATGCATAAATGTTAATTCCAATTACTTACTGAAATTCTTGCAATATTTTGCTCCGATTATTGATTTTTTCGTTTACATCCTATAGTTACACAGTATCTTTGTAAATAAAGGAATCATTTGCTATTTCCTTCAAAAACAGTCCTTCTTTGTTGTTCGTACATTTACCTGTTGGCCGATAACGGATATGCTTGCGCTTGCTTGCTTACCATATATAAGCTATTAGTTACCTTTTTTTCTAACACCGAAATAATTTCGCCATGATACCATGTCACTTGTCTTGGTGGCCACACTGAAACGTTGACTGGCAGACTTTGATCCGTTCAAATTAAAGACTTATCATCAAATAACCACATAAACATGAGGTTGGTTGTACTGTAACTCTCTACTTGTCAAAGTCTGACAGTGGAAATTAGCAATGTGAGTTCCACTTTCTGAGGAAATATGAATTTGCGCATAATTGATCGTAAGGAACTACAAATCAAGAGCAGCTAATTTTTAACCGCCTTCAAATATTGAAAACTCAGAGAAGACTCACATTGGATTTTTATGGAAATATTTATTTAACATAATACCAGCGTGTTTAGATTAAATTTATATGTATTCTAATAACGATTTACTCAGACTTGGAGCTCAGCTTCTTCCAGGACATTCATGACAGCTATGGTTTGGATGTTTATAACCTTACACTATGTAAGTATACTTTTTTATTCATGTGTTTAAGTTAGAGTTATTGAAATCGGATACATAGAAAGCGATATGTATTTTCAAGAAGCAAGGTAAATAACATCAGGAACAGAGTTTCACTAGTGGAGCTCTATACTCAAAAGTAGCCTAGTTTAGCTCTACTGGTTACTGATTGATTCATAGTAGAATGATACCCTCAAGTAAATATTTTTAGACTTTATGTCAGTTGTATCCTATTCCACCTATTGAGATGACTGTCGCTCCAAATATTTAGTGATTAAGTCTTACATATAAATATTTAACTTGTTTTGAAACGTTTTCTAAGTACTAGCTATTTTTTCATTTATCATTTCCAAAAGTACAAAAGTGAACCATCAGAATATAAGCATTTTAATTTTAAAAACTGGTTCCAACAGTCTCATCACTGAGGATAGAATTATTATTATTATTCTCCTGGGTTCCTAATGGAACATAGAGATTCAGTAACACTATGCCATCCCACTCTCTCTCCTCTCCAGTATTTTCAACCTCCCTCCACGACTGCCCACAACCTTTCGTCTCTTCCTCACATACCATCTCCTACATGTCACACTCGCCTCGGACACCCATCTCCTCGTTTCCCATTGCAATTCCATCCGACCACCTGACCTACCGCCTGATGTCTACAATCCACCCTCTCACTGTACACCCAATCCACTCCATCTGCATATTTGTTGGGTGATGGGTTCTCGCCTCGTTGGTTCCTTCACAGAGTTCCTTGTTGCTTATTCTAATTATTCTGACCATCTGAGCTTCAGTATCGAGAGTAGGCAGCTGTTTATGAAGTTTGTTTGCCTGTAGTTTGTTGGAAAATGTTTTTCGTGACACGCCAAGTTTCTCAACCGTATAGCAGCACTGACTTGACTGATATTAGTGTTGAAAATCCGGATCATGTTCACGGTTTGTGTTGAGTGCAATAGATCTCCACACTGATTTCAGATAAATGAACGCCTGTCTTGCTTTTCTGGACCTGACTGCTTTGACATCCTCATCTGTGCCTGTGTCGCGTGTAGTCGAAACGATGCTGCCTAGGCAGTTAGGTGAAAGAGACTACTTCCTTGAGGAAAGAATTACTGAATACTTATGTGTTGTTGGATGTATTGAAATCGTGGCTAACAAGTCACATAGATTATGCATTAATATCCTATTGATAAACGTGTATTTATTTCTGAAGGTTTGAAATTGCTTATACGTATAATGAATGTGTGTATATATTTACGGCAACAGCTGAGAAAGTTTATACCTAAGTTTCATTCTTTCTAGTTTTCATTAGTAGTCAGTATATGAAAGCTCAAGAAAATTCATGTGTCCTAGAGAAACATACTACTGACCAATTTAAGTAGTTGTAAACTACTCATATTGATCTTGAGATTTCGTTATCCAGGTCAAAGTAATCTAAAAACAGAATGGCTATTTTGCTTGTTTGGGTCCCAGTTCATCAGAAATGTAAATAGAGTGATTCAAATCACTTGAATGTGTTGACACTACAGTTGACCATTTATGAGGAATATTAGTATGGACCATGTAATTCGTAAATTATTTGCAAAATTTATGTATCCTTATTGATTTAAACTTGTGTTATCTAGGGATCCAGCTACAGACTTTACTGACAATCCATGTGAAATAAGTAGTGTTTGAACTCTGTATTTTAATCTCAGTGTTAAAAAAATATGAATGCCCACTTGCAACTAAGTTGGTGACTTACGTGGAATGATTGCAATACTTCATATGCAGCTCAAAATAGGAATAATAAATTTGAGGTAATTATCCCAGCGTTAATTTAACTTTCTAACGTCACAGTTATCATAAATTTATGGATGTTCTCAAACGAATCCATGAAGAGTTTGTCCATTGTGGAATGAATCAGTTTATTTTAAATAAATTTAATATAAACATTCGAACTATGATCAAGGTCTTAGGATTTGGCGATATATATGTGCAGCGTAACTATTCGTCGTGATCACACCAATAGTTGGAAATTTTGAAAATCTTCCCTGCATTCAGAACCAAACAAGTCAATATACGACTTAAATGATGTGTCTCCGAATACCATGCAACCTATACCAGCGTAATTAACAATCCTAGCAGAGCTTTGACAAGGATCCATATATAGAAGATCGTTAGTGATTAATAATGTTGTGCATGTGAGATATGAGGACACTTAATGAAAAGGCAACCGATTTCCAGATTTGCTTCATTACTTAGTGTTAAAAAAACCATAACGACGGGGGATGCCACGCAAGTGGTTACCGTGGTGATAGGAGTTGGTCAGAATTCATGCCTCTAACTTAAGTTATTTGTGAAAGTAATAGTTTGTGATGACTGCTAAAACAAAGTTACCTATTACTTACAGCTGTAACTGCACATGAAAAAAGTTACTTGATACTGAAATGAAATATTATTCTGGGTTAATACTGCGACATAAAAATAGGATGAAATCGTACTAGAAAAACGTTCATGATTCAAAGAATATTACATCAGCTAATGAGACTACGCTGATATTAAAAATTGGTTTTTGTTGAAGGATGTTAAGGCTGACCTTAAGTAAGTAAAACATCAATTCTTATCAGTCTTTTCCACGCATAAAATGAAAACTTAACCTTGAAACAAAGTTCCTTCATCAACCTCTGTAAATGCTTCACTTTAACTTTCTAGAAAGGAAGGAAAGTGAATAAAATTATTACACATAAATTTTCATAAGGAGTCTAAGTTACAGAATGAAGGTTTTGTGTTCGAAAGATACAATTTAGGAACAATGCACTAATCGAAAATACTTATCCTAGTAAATTCGTAAAGAAGCATATGATTACAAAGATGGCAAGAAAGCACATTTCATTGGATACGATTTAGAAAAAAACATGCTTAGCTAAATATTGACCCACAAACTACCCACGCTTCCAATGGTAAACAAAGACTGAGAAATGAATTGCCTAGACTAACCACTTTCTGTTCGTGAACATCCTCAAGAGTGGTTAAGCAAAGTTGCGTTAAAGACCATTACTGGATCTATCTTCACATACTTGATTCAAACGGAACATAAGGTGGATATGAATAAGTCGTCTTCTATTCTGTATTGGGTTCTTATCAACTTGCCTAAAAGGTAGGCGGATCAAAATCCTGCAGACCAAAAAAGTGATGGCAATCAGGACTAGACAAACTGAGTTATATGTTCAGTAAAAGTACGTTTTCCCACTACAACTACCTTGTCCCGATTCGGGACTCAAAAATTCTTTAGTATTCTACCCCAAGTGATCCGATTTTCGAATTCAACGTGGTAGATATCCCTCCGTTCTTATACTCTAAAGTATTTTTATCACATTCTCTTAACTCATTTTGTCTACCAACATGAGTAACATTCTACCAAATAATTATTCCTCAAGTTATCTACCTTTGTTTGCTGCGTTTATTTTTTGTATACATGGTTCCGTTAGTTTATTAAACTATCACCTTACCTACGCCGTTTGATCGTCTAGATAATGAATTATCTGGGATTAAATTACAGTAATAATTGATGCTGACAATAACGATCGCACAAGACTTTTCTGAAATGATTAGTTAACTATATAATATAATTAACAAACTGTTAAGCGAAATCTCAGTGTTACTGAGGCAAAATTACTCTGTATGTACACATAACTAAAGAGGTTATCGAAAAAAACCTCTTTATTCAATCGAATGGCTATTGATACATTTATAGCTTAAAAATGAACTTTTGCTTAGTAGTGAACTCTGCGAAAAAAAAATGTTTTCTTTCGAACGTTTAAAATCATTTGTTACAATCCTCAGTAGAAGTTTAAACAAAGTGAAAAAATAGGTTTATCTTGACCATTTATAGTGTGTAAAAGCATTTTATTTAAATATGATTTGCCACCAAAAACCTCATCTCGCAGTAAATTTAAACAAAATGAAACCAATCAATTAAAATGACACAAATATGTGCAAAAAGTAGGAATCAACAGAACGTACTTTGAATGTTTCATGTCTAAAAATAAAGCTTGATTCTTTGCCAAAAATCTCTTCCTCTGCAGCTTTACATTCTTGTAAACAATAACAGATTACTACTGTAGACAACATATGCTGTGAAGAAAAGGAAGGAAATAAGACATCAATTATATGCAGCAAAGTGTCGTTTGCAATACAAATAAGGCCTAATTTTCACATGAAAATGTAATTAGAAAATAAACTGTGAACACATCAATCTGCTCAGTTATATGCTGGTAAACAAAATACAGTTGGATAACTAACGAAAACAGAATGGGTAACCTGGAGGTTGATCGCTTTTACAAAAAAAGACTGTCTTTGCTAAATACATTGTAAGCCAATAGTTTAATCACCGTTGTGTCCAATACATTTCCTTACCTGGCATTATGTATATTCAACCTATATATTTGTTATCGAGAAATAGATATAAATGAACCACCCACACATTTAGAACTCACACATGAACTTTTTTCATAAGGTTGTAAGTTAATGAAGAGAAAAGTTAAACTGAAAGGTGATATAAAGTGCCAACTAACTAATTTGAAGGAATTTAGGGTAACTTCATCATTCATTCAAGCAAATACTTTCTAGCAAGTAAATATCATCTTTGAAAGATTGAATTCGAAGAGTTTGAACTAAAGGGTCAGAATGTTGGGATTTGAAATAGCCTCTGTGTCCAACTATCAATAAGATTAGCTAGGACTATCTCAAAGTAGCCAAATGCAACGTCATCGAATTGGTGACGCACATGAATTTCTAGCCGACGGTGTACATTCAGTCATTCTCAGTCGAATAGCTTGCTTACTGGTGGTGGTGGACCTCCTCGTGGTTTCTTCTGATAAGCAGATGTGAACATGTGAACCAACTCATCGTCTTTTTATCCAGTGTTAGCGATTCGAAGTGAAGAAACTGAATTGGCATGAGAAACGCCGGAGTTACTCAGATATCTATCAGTAATCTAGGGTTCCTAACCTGTTTGCTTGGGCACATCAGTAACATGCTTCGCCGAGCGACGGGAGAGTGCAAAACGTATGCAAGATATAAAGTGTACGATGTGTAGCTCGTTAGATCAACACTTTTTCGGATACATTTCGTCGGATAGTTGATATTTCATTCTTACTCCTTCAACTGAATTTATGGCTTTCCTTCAGATCTGTCTAAATCCTCCGGATTAATTACTACTTGTGAATAATTTCCATACCAGGTGATGCTTCAAAGTGAAATGAAAGTTTGGGCCACGGCAGAATGCGAACCAGAGACCACTGTGTTTCCTGCCTGATGGTCGCCGGTTCGAATCAGTAATAGTCTGCCAAACCATGGCTATCTCAGTTATTCAAAATTGGAATAATTTTCAGTCATTTGGCTAGTTTCCTTTACTTTGATTATACTTTCCCAGGTTATTTTAGCTGCTTCCAGCCACATTTTTTGAAACGGAAGATTTTTTATGAGAATGGCATGATGATTCAGTTTTTGTTTTCTTTACACTGCTGCTTTTGAATAAACATCAAGATTTTTGTGCATGACTACGTTTGAGTCTAGTTAGTTATCGATTGTCAGTTAACACGAATAATGTGACATAATGCTTAATATATCTCTATTTTATCCTTTACAACTACACGTAGTGAATCTTCTCTTCGTAAAAGTGATCTTGGATAGTTATTGTAAACCATCTCAGTAGAAAAGTTAATTAACGTTCAAAATACCTATAATGTCTACAAAAAACCTGAAAGCCAATGTATTCCATCCAAAATTTAAACTAATTTAAATGCTTTATCGTTGTTTTTCGATGTTTTCAAAATGTTTAATTAGTACATTCAGTTTTTTCGACTGAAATTAAACTGTCTATACTAATAAATTGTAGACCAAAATTTTTTCATCGGAAGACACAAAAAGGTTGATAAATATCTAAAATCTAGTTTATGACTAAAAATATTTCTTCTAAAGGTTTTCAAAACGTATTCAACTTCTAGATAACTTTGATGGGTGCTTAAGCTAATGAATGGATTCATAATACTGCATTACATTATTCTCTGATCCCACTAGTGTGATAAGCGTCTACGATAACTATGGTATCAGTTGATCTACAAAAAGCAACAAGCTGAACATTTTTCAGCTCATCCATAAACCATGAACTTTTTAACAGCAATAGCCACCCACTTAGATCATTCCACCTTAATTTAATTGATAGCAAACTCCCCATTTACAAAAATATATAAGGTTGTTAATCAGGTTATTTGAGGTATTGGTTATTGACTAGTCTGATAAGTTTTCAGTCACTAGTATCTGAACCATAATACAGTTTGACTAGTTACTCTGGGTTTATTTAAGAAGCTTAGCGCTTGTTGAAATCAGTATCATATAGGTTGTAAAATACTGAACGGATAATCGCCTGTCATCAGTACTTCAACAGACAGAATACGTGTTCTCCCAGGACTTTCTTATGACTCCATAGTTTATCATCTATGTACTTCATGAAAACTTGTAGACCTTCACTAATTCTGACTAGATGAATAAGTCGATAAAGCTTTACATTTCACTCAAGATATATGAAGACAACTACAAGAAATTTACAAACATAAAGCTGAACATTTCTTTCTGCTTGAATAGCTAAAAGTAACCATGGAAAATTCCCTGACAGAAATACTTATTTAGTACGACACACACAATACGGCTGATAGCTTGAAGATTGAAGACTACTGTGGTGACATTTCAGTAATGTACATAACTGATGATGAAACTCAGTTCTCCCTAGCTTCTGAAAAAAGTTTGCATCTTTACATTCGAAAAACTCAGGACTGTCAAATACTTTTAATTGTAAGTCATCTAGTCTATGTTTAATGGTTGGAGGCAATCGGTAGGAAGCTCTGGACTTGGGTTTAATACCTGTTGGCACTCATCAGCAAACTGGATATCAGTTCCCTCAAGGTTTCAGATAAACCTTGCTGACGACAGCCAGTAACCACAAAACCTTGGTTCAGGACTTCCTGCAGATCGCTCCCAATCAACTTGCATCCACCAAAGTACACCACAATCATGACCGTCCTAGTTTGGCAGCAACACTACAAAATGACAGATAGAATCCGCTTAGCACTCAGTGACTAGTCAATCTGACACCTATGTTTTCATCCACTGTGTAGTGTCTGAGGGTACCTGATGAGAAACCGTGTACTATTTTGGGCTTTAAAATTGCCTTCACTCATCAAAAAGCATACCACAAGCATACAGTATCAGTGGTTATTTGTTAATACTCGAGTTCAGATAGATCTAGGTTGTAGTCATGGATTAGGGTGTGAGGTTTTACCAGTTTTGGATACAAAAATAAGAATACGAGAGAGAATTCCTGTTTTTAAAATTAAATGAACGTCACAAATGGTTAAACTATTTAGATCATAAGGAAGCCTATGAGCAATCATGATATAATTAATGTGACGCTTGTTGTACAAAAACAAAGATTACATTTTCCGCTAACTTATCACATGTAACGTGCTGTATACAACCATAAACTTATACTAAGCATACAAAATACAAATTCTAAGGCATGTTGTTCATTTATTTCTTTAATTCTTTAATTATGGACACATTTTGTAGTTTTTTTGGAAAATAAATTTTATCATCAATAATACATAACCAGCTGGACTCTGTAAGGAAATGATTAAATTTGAAAACGAAACTGTAATCGTTTTTTTCAAGTTAAATATAAGTTTCATGAAAAATTCAAGCAAATAGCTGCAATGTACCACTTGTTGAAAGTTATTCTGAATACAAATGACTTCTTAGGATTACATTTAAAACCACTTCACACTAGGACTAGGATAACGATTTAAAGTTCGTAGGTTAATATTTTAAAACTCCTGCCGATTCGTAAAACTAAGACAGCAGAGGACGTCCATCCTTACAGTAGACTTGCCTCTTGCCATTAGTTAAAGTTTACTAACAGAACTTCACAAAATCCACTCGAAAACAATTCAATTAGTTGTACTAAATGCTTATTCTAAAGGGTACTTTGACTAATTCGAATCGGATTCATATCAGAGTTTTCAGCATATAGCTAGTTTTCAGCAAATCTTGCGGTTTGGCAGTTCCAATGTTGTTTGTGAATGCAGATAAATATACCTATTCCTGGAGAAGTGTCAAAAAAGTAGATATTTAGTGTTTTTTTGTTTTCAAGCGTGATCAAGCTGACCTCAACCTCTGCTAAAACAACCTTCAAATTAATCACTATCTCTAAAGAGTTACCATTCGATTATTCTGGGTCTGAATGTATCTCTTAAAGATTCAATAAAAATGGAGGCCTTTTTATTTTGGGAACCTTGTACAGTAGACAGTTGTGATACTTCAACTTCATCATTCAAACAGCCTTGTAACTTCAAAATATGATCTTAAGATTAGTATTACTATTTATTATTTTTCCCTTGGGTTCCTAGTGGAACATAGAGATTCAGTAACACGATGCCATCCCACTCTCTCCTCTCCAGTATTTTCAACCTCCCTCCACGACTACCTACAAGCTTTCATTTATTCATCACATACCATCTCCTACATGTCACACTCGCCTCGGAAGCCCATCTCCTCGTTTCCCATCGCAATTACACCCAACCGCCTGACCTAGCGCCTGATGTCCACAATCCACCCTCTCACTGTACACCCAATCCACTCCATCTGCATATTTGTTGGGTGATGGGTTCTCGCCTCGTTGGTTCCTTCACAGAGTTCCTTGTTGCTTATTCTAATTATTCTGGCCATCTGAGCTTCAATATCGAGAGTAGGCAGCTGTTTATGAAGTTTGTTTGCCTGTAGTTTGTTGGAAAATGTTTTTCGTGACACGCCAAGTTTCTCAACCGTATAGCAGCACTGACTTGATTGATATTAGTATTGAAAATCCGGATCATGTTCACGGTTTGTGTTGAGTGCAATAGATCTCCACACTGACTTCAGATAAATGAACGCCTGTCTTGCTTTTCTGGACCTGACTGCTTTGACATCCTCATCTGTGCCTGTGTCGCGTGTAGTCGAAACGATGCTGCCTAGGCAGTTAGGTGAAAGCGACTACTTCCTTTAGTAACTACAACCAAATTTTTGTTGTGGAGATACTACCTTCTGACAAGACGCAATGGAAATTTCATATATTTGAAGCTGCCTCTCCTAGTATTGCTGATGAACATCACTATCTCTCTCTTTCTCTCATAACTCTACTGTAACCTAAATATCATAATTAATTTTTCATCACAAGACGTTTTTGCTACAAGCTAATTCAAGGTTACATAACTGATAAACAAACAATGAAACGTTGGTAAACATGTTGATCAAAGTTTCATTTGGATAACAGTTGTAAATTTAAACAAACGTATACTTGTAACAATAAATATTTTGTTCATCAAAACAAACATATGAAATCTATTCCCGTTAATAACAAAATTTAGAGACAATGGATTATTCTTAGAGTTCTGTCAATCTTATCTTAAGATTTTGTTTTATGCTTGGCTGACAGATTTCAGACAATATTCAGTTACCTTGGTAATCTCATTCTCATACTCATAATTAATCCTTGCAGATCACCTTTTTATTGATGTCTTTTCAACATAGTGCAACCATTATTGAAAACTGTAGGTGGAATAGACTATCCTCATCACAAATGATTCTTCGTTAAAACGAAATACACATCAAGATTTATTTTATTCATGGATACAGAAATAAAGTAATTTTTATGAATCTTCATAATGTAATTAGAAGACGTATTTGCAATGATATAGGTAGTTTTCTGTTGCAATACAGGGCCGAAATACTATACCTTTGATGATGGCTGCTATGCGGATTCCTCGACACTGCCGGATATTCTTTATGTTATATTCATGTTGGTGACTAGCAAAGGAAGCGCGTTTCTTGCCAATAATGGCTCATCAGTTGCATATACCTGCACCTCAGTGGTTGGTGTTGTTGCCCCCGAGACCCTGGTATTGTTTGTCTTGTCACATTACCGGTATTGTCTTCAAACCTCATCATTCTTCCTTCATTATCTTTCTTATTATTAAATTTCTTTACGTCATACTTATCCTTTCCCCACTTCCAGTTTTGATATAAAATGACTCAACAGGTAAATATATGATCAGAGTGTTTGAAGTGTATGCCACAAGTGCATCACATTTTTCAGATAATCTACGTCTGATACTTATGCTATGCAAATTCATAAAAGAAATTTATCGTGTCAGATGTTTATGAAGTCAAACAAGTACGTATTACGTTTTCAGTATGAATGTCTTCAGCTTATGGGCTTTCATCATGTAAAGATAATAGCTTAGTTTCATAATGAACAACGGTTTCTGTTCGATCCATTCACTGATGCAGAAACAGGATAAAAGTAAAAACAGTGTTTAGCTAATTTGTTTGTTTATACAAGAAATATGGATCTCATCAATGAACCCAGTATTTTCCGCCCACGAACAAAACTTTATCTTCTTTAGATGATAAGGATTTTAAGAACTTCGTCAATTTTAAGATATCCTCCTTTTCAGTTAGTATGATTCTCATTAGCTTCAAAGTTTACACATACCCTGAGACATTGTCTTATTCTTCCAGTAATACTCTATTCAGAATGATGATATCATCGACACTTTTGTGAAAAAAATTAAGAATTGACATAATTTTAAGTGACTAAAAATGACACAAGTCAAACTATGAAGTTGGATTCTTTAGATCAAAGAATGTGTGTTCATCAACTAAGTTGTCCAAATTAACCTGTAGATTATGAAAGAATTCAATAGAATCTTAAAAGTGTGCATAATGTTACGTTCTTTACGAACCCGTTTAACTATCTCCTTTCCGTTATAAAGAAATTAACATTAGTGAAAGGTTTTCATCTCCTGTCGGTTTTCATAATGAATACATCACTCAAAGTCAACTCTCAAAAACCATAGGTAAACCTATTTGTACCCTATTATATATTTATTCTATTTGTCTTTAGGGTTTCTAGTGGAACATAGGGATTTAAGTAGCACATCGCTGTTTCACTGCGTTCTTTGCAGTCATTTGAATCCGGCTCTATGGCTACCCAGAAGCTATGATTTCTACCTCACACCATCTCCGCTATGTCACCCTTGGCTCAGATGCCCAACTCATTGTTTCCCATTCGACTTTCACTCTACGGCCTGGCATAGTACATGATGTCTCCAGACGGTCTTCTCAGTGAATGTCTAATCCAATCCAATCAATCTCCACTTTCTTCTTCTGTATATCTGTTGGGGATAGGTTCTTGGTTCATTCGTTAGCAAGCCAGAGCTTCTTGTTGTTTATTCTTTTTGGCTATCTCATCTTCAGTATCGAGTGAGCGTAGGCAGCAGCTGTTCATGGTGTGTTTATAGTTTGTTGGAAATGATTTTCGTAACGCGCCAAGTCTCTCAATCATCACATAGAAGCACTGACTTGACTGTCATTAGTGTTGAAAATCTGGATCTTGTTCACGCTTTGTGGTGAGTGGAGTGGAGTAGATCTCCACACAGATTTGTACTCTATATAGTATGCATTGACTTGGTATTCATCATAGACTCGCATCCATTGGAAGAACATGTGGTGAACTGACAGAAGTTGGAAATATGGACAGTTGGATTCCGACCCAGTGGCTCAAAGCTAACGTACTGGCCAAGGAACCTGAAGGTCATGAGTTCGACTTCCAGTAGGATCGTGGGTGCGCGTTGCTGAAGAGTTCCATCCTAGGATGAAACATCTGTCCAGTGCTCTCATGTTTCTAGTGTACCTCCAAATGATGTCAGTCCATGATGAATTCCAACTTGAAAAATCTCTAAATCCCTGCAAACCCCCAAATTCAGCATGCAGTAAGTTTTAAATGGATAATCTCTCTTGGAGATGAATAATTGTTTCGTTGGAACGAACTTAAATTATTATTACTCAAATAAATCACTTTACCAAATCTCATATTTTTAATGATCAGTTCATTCTTCACAATCATACAGTAGTTTTGATATTTTTTCTTTACAAAATGTAATTTTTTTTCCAATGATTATGATAAAGTCGAGAACTGACTTACTTGTAAGACACTTAGTATGGCACTTGAAATAAAATAGCAAATCCCAAATGATAGAATTGCTATTATAGGGAAGGCAATTGAGGCTGGAGGTCTCTAAAATGAATTAAAAAATATATTTTTATTAAAGCCGATAAGATTACATGAAAGATAGTTTTACTACTGTTTACTCACAGGGTTACTAGTCATAACCGTTCTACTAAAGTAATCTGAGTAGTAAGTATAGTGAATTAATATTCTAGGTGATAATAGCAGTTCATTGGTTAACTTGTATCAAGGCTAAATTAGTCTTAGGGATTTTATTACCTTAGAAAGCTTTGTAATTATTATACACTCTAACACTATAGATTTTCATTTCTGACACTAATGAACTCAGCTGCTTTTTCAACCCCGAATGCTGACACTAGCTCAGAATTTCCTAAGTGATTTACTGACTTTTCCACCAAAATTACCACATCTTTTCCATTAAATACCTATTTGAAGCTTAGGACTTTTAATAAAACAAGTCAAATCTAAATAAATAATTCTAGTAAGGCTTAAAATTAAGAGAGTGTCCATCATTACGCCTTGGACAGAACCTAACTACAGTTCACTCGAAAACTACACAAGGCCATCAGGTAAAACTATCCAGCTACTTGTGGAGAAAACCCCATAGTTCACTTCTTTCCTAAATTTGTGCTAATGGTGTCGTCCAGAATGAACGTGAAAACCGTTCACCCAAGAGAACATAACAGTATCAAGATAAAAGACTCCTCGATTAGATTACTTCTACTCTTGTCCTATTGGAACATTCAGTATGATTCCGCATTTTCATCGCTACCCATTATCAGTTAAAAATATAACATATTTGCTAACATTAACGCGGCGACTTGGTTTCAAGTAATTCGCAGACTGTCTGTACGTTCATCATCATCCGAGTCCCCTAGACTATTGAATGTTTTTTATTTCTAATGAAGCATGGAAGAAACGTGTTGCTCTTTGAAAGAACTAAAAGGTCAGTCGCTATTTGCACCAAACTGACAGTTATTTTAGCCACCAGTCTTCAACCTTTAGTTTTATTAGATCGTAATTAACCAAACTTATATTTGAAGACCATTTCCACTCAAGAAATATACATTGCTGGGGAAATCTTTGCTTAAGAATCAAAAGTAGTATAGTTCCCGAAGGGATTGTATATCATTTTAGTGGTGCGAAGTGCATAAATGCTGCTTAACAGTATTCCACAAAGTGACCTATGAAGTTTGATCTTACGTACTGCATTCAATATAGCTATCAACACAAAGTCCAAACACTAAATAGGAACAAGGTAATTCTCAAACGGTGAACTTAATGGGTCGAATGGAAAGATAACAAAATGCATTACGTTAATCACCTTTTAACACCTTGAAGATGAAAAAGAAATGAAGTAATCTTTTACGATCCAAAGTCATATGTACTCTCGGTAGTTCATAACTTACACTTAATGTGATATCAAACTTAGACAAACACAATACATAACATTACATGACGTCAAAAAGCTGGTGTCCATAGCTATTTTTAGCGGGAAGCTTACCTTATATAAAGGCCCTAAACATTCGTTAGTCAGCATTTTTGTGAAATCGGTCATAGCACCTGAGTGTTGAATTTCGAGAGATAACAATATTTTGTCCATGAATCTGTTGTATCAGACAGATTGCAGAGGGATATCTGATTTCTGTTCACAGAAAATGTAAGAGTTTATGCGTGCTACATCGACTTTTAGTTACACACCACAACATCTCGTAGAATATTAAGTTTGTGAGTTGTTTATTACCTGAACGCGCTAGCTAGACTTGGTGTTGAGACGTCGTCTTTACTGAGTAACTAAGGGTTCCTTTACATCATTCACTATTACAAAAAGAAATTCCTAGTTGTTCAGGATCACAAACGGGCTATATGACAGTCATTCATCCTATTATTGTATCATGTACCACATATGTATGAAAGGAGTGGAGATAATAACAAAATAATACTTCAAAAGAAAGCTGAATAAAAGAGTGGCTGGTATTTATGTTGTCGTGGCCACCAGGTAAAGTACTCAACGATGACATTGGATGATGTTCGCGCTATGTCATGAACTGGCAGAAGTTGTAAATATGGACAGTTGGATTCCGACTCGGTGGCTCAGTGGTAACATGCTGGCCACGGAGCCTCAAGACCCTGGGTTTAATCCATAGGGATGTAGGGTCATGGGTGCGAACTACTAAGGAGACATACTATGACGAAACAGGTGTTTAGTGCTCCCAGGTTTCTAACTGAATGCCAACCTGAAATATATGGAATACACTTAGATATCTGAAAAATATCACACGTTTTCGGAAGAATAAAACGATCAATGCAAATCGACCTATAGCATTTTCAACTTCGCAAAAAATAAAAAAAACCAAAAAGATATGCAAATAAATAAGGATGTATCACAAAATGGATTTCCGAAAGTCTTTAAATTGAATTCTGAAGAAGATGGAAAAGAAATAAATCCACTCTGCCCTAATAGCTTTCAGAACCATCTGTGAAGATCCTTAACAACTAATTTCAACCATCTTGATTAGCTTAGTCAGGTAGCGTACACTTCGTAATACAACTTAGATTATTTCTCCGGGATACAGTTAACTGTGCTGTTTAGAAATAATCTTCATTAGTTGTTGTATTTTGTAAAATATAACTAGTGTGATGTCCACTATGAAACTGAAGTTTTGGTTGGGAGAAATTTTTATATAATAACATATGCAGTCTATTCTATCCTTTGGAATATTCAAGTATACATTAAAAAGCTTGTTATCAACTACCATGAAAGCATATTCTTATATAAAACAGATTATACAACGGATTCAAACTAGCTACCACCGGGTTGCCAGTTTTGATGAGTATCTTATTGCTAGTTGTTATTTATTGGCATTTAGGATTTTCATTTTGCGATACTAGGCCGAAATACTCCACATCTGTTGACAAACAGGCTACTATGCTGGTGCGTCGATGTTTCCTGAATATTCATCTTGCAGATTATTTGATGGCTAGCAGTGGAAACCAGGACAAATATTACGTCAGATATGAAACTCATCCACTGATTGTACCTGTGAGTCATATTGTCCCCATTGAGACGCTAACCCAGTGCCCATCGCTTCGAACACTAACTTGTTATCCACTAGGCCACTGAAGCAACTAGACTCCACTGTTTGTCTCTAAGTAAACTAAAATGGAATGGGCACCTAGACGATATCAAGGCATGCATGCAGGAGGCCGTCTGCCAACAGAAACCGAGACACTTGGCTCAGTATAACAACAGGGAATTACAAGCACCAACGAAGAACAATTGATACTCGTTGTACAATAGGCGGCTTTTGTGCCTCAGTAGCTCAGCTGATAATGCTTTGGCGTTTGAAGTGATGAATACTGGGTTCGAGTCGCAGTGGAAACAATATTACTCACTGGCGTCCAGGAAGATCCATCTTACGAGTCCAAAATAGGACGAAACGCGCGTCTTGGACTCCATTACTAGCCACTAAGCCAATTACAGCATCTTCTTATCAGTTTGACTATTTGAGGTACCTGTAGTGTGAGAGTTTTGTATTATTGATACTGGTGGATGACGGAAAGTGAAATTCTTATTTCCCATCCTTCCGCAATCCACATTTCTCCCTTCACCTTCAATCAGCACCCAGAATGAATATCTTGGTGGTTTTAGCAAAGGGAAAGAAACAGAATACTTCATGATGTGATCAGACTTAGGCAAACAATAAGTAAATTTTTTCAAACTTATCAGTGTAATAATATATTGTACATAAACACTAGTTTAAAGGAATTCACTCTGAAATAATCATTTAAAAGGCCTTCATAGACGATACAATTACAAAGTAACTAATTAACTAAAAAGTGATTAGAGAAAATGTTCAAATTTCGTAATAGCCTTTCAAGTTAAGAGGAATTAAAACTATTTCAACAGTAAATATTGTCAGGTTTTGATTACTTTTAATCAGAATGAAAGCTTTTATTTCCCAAAGGATTAAATTTTCATTCAATAACTTAGTCAAATTATATATTCGGTCGTTATAACAATTGAAACCGGATGTAAACAGTTTACAGTTTTATCTTATGAATAAACAATATACATCACTTTTCAGTGGTAAAATAATTTGTATCTTATGACTTACAGTGAACAATATCGGTATCTTTTGTAAACAATCCATTCATCAGATAGTGAACTACTTAAGTGAATCTTTTAAGCACTGATGAAAACCATCCCTGTACGACTCAGCGTTAAGATGAACTAGATTTCATCTTTATAAGATGATTAAAATTTATACAACCCTATGAAAGGGAAATTGCTGCTCAGCGATGTAGAATACTAGTATACTGACTGAATAATATTACTCAGGATATAAATGTTTGTATTTCAAAGTGGTATTTCACCACCAAGTGATATTGGTTGGCAATCACTGAAAATCTGAGAACAATGAAAAGCTGTTTTGTCTTATTTTAGGACCTCTTAAAAGTGTTCAGCCACAAACCTATGTAATATAGTTGGCTCCCCAGGTCTGTAATTCAAACTCTATGAAATTCATCTTTAAGTAAGTCATTGCTGAGCATTGAATCGTTAATCAGTGAATCATTTGTAGGAACTGATTGATATCCTGATTAAAAATCTCTTAAGAATCAACTGGTCCTTTCAAATCAACAACTGAATGTTACGATTGCCTATCGGTTAATTAAAGTAATGAGAACTGGACTGTTAAGTGATTTACATTCTCACTTCGACAACCATGTAGAATAGTGCTCAGAAAGAAGTTTGCAGATTGCTCGACTTATGTGGCCTATATAACTAGCTCCATCAAGTGGATAATCAATCATCACATTCCACATCTACCAACAAATTTCACCTTGCCAAACATTTGTCTACAAGGTTAATACGCAACTAATTTTCATTCTTAATTTCAAATTTTAGTACTAGCTTAATGATGTAAATATACCCTATTGTAATAATGGAGAATATTTTTAGCTCAGGTGGATGGTCTTGGTGGTATTGTGTTCTCACTCCAAACACTATTATGCAGACCAAACGATGCAACGACCAAAGAAGACAA